TTTTTTTTTTTTTTTTTTGGTCACTTGGTGTTTTCTCAATAACTGATACTGATACTGAAAGTACAATACACTATACAATATTCTAGGGTTTAGAATTTAGGGGCCTTGATCATCCATTGCTCCACATGCTGGCAAGGTGATAGCTGTTTCTGCACACCAAGGAAAGGTATTATTGTTAGTGATGACAGGTATCCTCACCCCATTACCACCCAAAGGTTAGTTATGTAAGCATAGATTAACCAGAAGAGCTGCCTTGCTATAAGCCCTTCACCAGATCCTGGGCAATGCGGGTGTCCCTCCTGTCCTGAGCCATGCATAGTGCCAGCAGGGAAGGAGTTGTGCTAAAGCTTGTCTGGGCAGCTGGCCTGAAGACACAGGTGGGGAAAGAAGTCAGTAAGTGCTGAGCAAGAACTCAAGTTCTATTACAAAGATGAGTGCTAGAATAGAACATGAAGGCAAGCTAAAGGGGCAGAATAACAAGAGAAACTTTCAGAGTGGGTGGGGGGAGGGGGGGCATACAGAAGCCAACATAACCACTACTTTCCATTGCCCACATCAAGAATACTGCCTTGAAATAAGGTGCCCATGTAAAATATCTAACACACACACAACAAAAAGATGCTCAATAAACACTAGCTCTCTTCTGCCCACTAAGCTCATTCCCTAGCATTAGCGAGTTATTTCAACAAATTTATACCAAGCAGCTTCTATGGAAGGCTGAGTACTAGTTTAAAAGATAAAACACTGGTTAAATTAGTTACTATAATGATCTAGTTAAAATAATAGAAAAAAATGGAAGAAAAGGTAAACAAAATAGCAGGAAAAAAATTGACCGCTAAGATGTTTACTTCAAGTTCTTCCTCTTTTTTGAATAGGTGTCTGTCTCCCTGCTAATAGCCACAACTTAGAAAATTATAAAGGAAATAAATTTCTCAAATGTCTTTGATAGGAGAGGGTATTAAGATGAAAATGATGTACTTGTATAAGATTCTATATTAGATAAGCCTTGTTCCTTACAGTGTATTAATGCATAAAGTACAAGTGATTCTGGAGCTCCAACATTGCATATATGGAGCAAACACTATAAATCTAATATGAAGGTTTACTGAAGTAATTTGCTTGAAAAAGAAATCTGTGCATTCCATCTTTCTCAGTTCTGTTGCCCTTCGTTATTCAGGCATCTCTTCCATTGGACACCTGTCTAGTTTACTCAGGTGTGAGGAGATGGCCCAGTGGTGGCTATACTTTGCAGGAAGTATATAATTTATGAGCAGCTCATTGTTTGCTCTGGAGAAGAAATGTTTTCAAGGCTCCCAGGTTCAAAACCATTTTACTATTTATTGTGTTATCTGTCTTTTCCTTATAAACATCTGTGCAACATGCATGTAAGTGGGTTAGGAATACATCCAATGGAACCTTCAGAAACAGAGCCAGAAAAGAGGTCACAGTGGCTCATGGCAAAGGATGGTCAAGTACCACAACACTACACACCTAAACACATGTGCACACATACATGCACACACGAATAAAACCTCATATTTGAAAGAAAGTAAGGTGCCAGTCAAAAAATATGTTTGACAAAAACACTGAAAACTGCGAACTAAAATTTAGATTAACAAGGATTAGCTGAACACTTTCTGTAATATGCTCCTTTCTACTTTAAGAATTTGAAAGCTACCTATTTTTCCAAATACTATCATTCTAATTACAGAGTATGATTACTGTCTACTGGGAAAGTGCATTATAATAAATCAGACAAAATTTTTATACCATTATCCAGAATGACTTCACACCCAAGCTCAACAACACTGAATAAGCTAGTATATTTTAAATAATTTATGGCATTAAAGGAGGAGTAGAATTTACTTTAAAATGGTCCTTTTGGATGCAAAAAAGCAAATAATGGAAGAAGCAAAAACAAAAAAAAGGGAAACAAAAACTCTAAAGTAAGTGTAAATGGAATACTTAAGTAACTGTAGCTTTATACTTCATTTCACCTAAATTGTACAGGCATCCTCTACTCTCTAAAATGCCTGTGTTGGCTCACCAGGTTAGCCTGAAATTTATCTCAGAGCTTTTTCCACTGCTATGATTCAGTGATTGCCCATTACTCCCAAACAATCAAGGCATGGTTAAGAACATAGACAAACTATACTTCCGACTCTTGGGAGCGTGTCCCCTGGCACTCACAGTTTACACAAAGAGAGATACCTGAGTGAAGTTCAATTTCTTTATGCTTGAAAAAGGAAAGGACACTTAACACAGTAAGGGTAATCACAATGCTCTTAACCAAAGTTGCCAGATTCTATGAATGCCCTCTAGTTAGTTGTCAAACATTTTGGCGGGGGGGGGGGGGGGGGGTTGGAATCTGACAGACTGAAGGGAATATACTTCCAGGAATGTATTTTAGAAATCCAGTGTTCATAATGCTTCCCCCTAGAGAGCTTTGCAAACACAATTTACGATCACTAAAATGTTTTCCTCATGAGGAAAACCTGCCACATGTAATGTAAATTATATGATCTTTTCCCTACCCTTTACAAAGTATACCAAGCTTAAAGTAATCTGTAGGGGAGAGTAGTTTCTAAATCACCTCAAAGTCAAATATTTTCCTTTTCATCATCATTTATGAAACACGTTGGTAACAGAGACCTGACTGAGCCACACATCAGAGTTAAGAGGAATGAGGTCCTGATTGAACACCTGGATCTCTTTAATAGCAACTTCAATATAATCATCAGTAACCACAGAGCTCTGGAATATTAAAAAGGGAATGTATGATCCCAAGCAAAGCTTTAGATGAACCCCTCTAGCACCACTGGAGGTTTGGGGTTTGGAATTCAACAAATAGTAGAGTAGGGGCTGAAAAGACATTTACATTCCAGCACCTGTCGCTCATTAACTGAATCTATTTGGGCAAAAAACTGAACCTCTCTGAACTTGAGCTTCTTAACCTTGAAGCAGCGATAATATTACGCATGTGGCCCAGTTCACGTAGGATTGCAGCAGCAACAGCAGCAGAAGTAGCAAAACGAGAAAGCAATAGTACGACTTTCATTTTCTGAGGGCTTACAGTGTCCCGTGGACTGAAAACCACATGGTAAGGTAGGCATGCCATCGTAGACAAGGAAGCTGAGACTCAGAGAGAAGAACTTGCACAAGACTGCACATGTGTTACTGGCAGAATCTAAGTGTGAACACCAACAACTCTGACTCCAGAGGCCATGACCTGGTTCACATCTCAAAATGTATTCACATGTGTCATCTAATGAGGTAATGCTAGTGACTTCACTGTAAATGGCAAAGCGCCACATAATGCAATGTGTTATTAGTGTAATTTTTTTAAGCTGCTAAAGTGTTTTCTGCTGAGTGCATATACTATTCTTAGCAAGGCCCATCAACTCAAGAAACTAAGGAAAAAGCACGAATGAATATGTAACTTGAGACCTAAAACAATGGAAAAGTACGGAAAATGACTTTAAAGTAGATGTGACAGTTGGTGATGTCATTTTCTACATTTGCACATTCGCATGCGTCCACACAGAGTTCCAACCCACAAACATCAAGCATCTCTCAAGACACCAATGGAAGCTGCCAGAATCATTAAAAAGCCGAGAGATCTGTTGTGTATGCGTCATGGCTCCCCAAGCCCATACCGACGACTTGGCAGGCTGCTCACAGGAGGTGATTAGAGACATGGAACAAGCATGTTAGTCTGCAAATAATCTGTGGCCAAGCTTCACAGGGATAACAAGGGGCAGCACGTTAGCAAAGCTGAGGGTCGACAGGATGGATGCTTTAGAGTCCTCACCGGCAGCCAAAAGCAATGATGGTGAACAAGAAAGCTAACAAAGGCATAGCAACTACCTCTATACTGTCTTAATGATTCTAAGCCTTTGAAACAGAGGAAAGACTCCATTCACCAAGGACAGGTAAACTGAATTACAATTAAATTCACATGTTAGTTTGTTGCAAACACTCTTTTCCCAGAAATAGGTTCAGTCCTGAGTGAAATGGAAAAGGCAGAAAACGCTGCCCTCTGAACTTCTCTTCTGCATTTCTGCTTTTCTGAGCTTGTCCTCACTCCTCCCGGCCTCTATGCTGCCCCTAACTTATCCCATCTCAGACAGCAAGTCCCCAAACATTTGTGATCACCCTCTCCCTCCCTTTACTGTGTTGCTGCTCTTTGTTTTCTCTAGAAGGGATTAAATAAACCTCTAAGGCCAGAGTGTACAGGTGTCTGGATTAAACACTGCAGGATCTCAGGAGACGCTTTCACATCAGTCTCTTTCCAGAAATGCTCTCCCCCTCATCCCAGAGATGTGCAGGACACAACCTGTACAAGCATACTCAGCAGCCCTGCAGACAAACCCCAAACCAGAACAGGCATAAAGAGTTTTATCCATTCATCTGTTCATTCACTCATTCGACTCAATAAATAGTTATTGCATCTAGCATGTGCCAGACACTGATGGGTCTTGGGCAAATACTAGCAAATAATAATGTATAATACCTGCCCTCAAGAAACTCACAGTCTAGACACATCATCAATGAGTAACATTACAGAGTAGAGCACGCTAGCCCCGGGAGGTGTGCAGGAAGGGATTCATATGCAGTCTTGGCATCGGTAAAGGGAGAGTAGGCCTTACCACATTTGGGTTGACTTTATGTCGAAAGCACGTGATGTTCACCACATACGGCCAATCGTCAGGCTCCATCAGCACCCCAGCAGCATGAGCACACGTGACGTGGAATGAGGCCGGGCATCGGCCATAGGAACACTGGATGCAGGCTCCAGAGACCTTCTTAACCCGGTGCCTGCAGAACATGCATTTCTGGAGGGTTAAAACAAAGAAGAGCATCCATTCAATCTCAGTTAACTCAGCCAATTTCCACACTTCGCAGCATAATAGCTATTAGAGAGTAAAAAAACTGATTACATCAACAAGGCCTGACCTCCAGGGCCCCTAATGGTGAGAGTGACTGTGACAACATAAGCTGCGTACCTTCAAGGAAACACACAGCTACGGCCGCATACTACCAGACACATGCTGAAATACTCCTTGTGGTAAGGAAAGCCAAGCCCTTTTGCACATGCTTCTCCAGTCACAGAGCTGAGGAAGAGGCCCCCCGGGTGCTCCTGTAAATCACCCATGACTGCTGAAACTACTTGTCTTTTACCTCCTGCCTGCCAGGCCTTTCTGTACATCAAGAGATAGACGATGGGTTTGACAGACAGGCACATACTCTCCTAAGTTAGACGAGGTCTTCAGAAATACCCAAAGAGCACACAGCTGGGCTCACGTTTCCATTTACAAGGAAACGTAAAGTGTTAAATGGTCCAATGTGGAAACCGCAGGCTCAAGTGTTTAATAATCCAAATCTGAACCCTTCATGACTGAAACAAAAATATGCCTCCCAAAGTGAGAAAATTGAAAATCACCCCAAAGGGCATAATTTTGTTGAATATCTATAGCTGACTATGCCTGGGGAAGGAAGAATGGAAATAAAAACTGCAATAATAATTACCACAATATGAAAATTAAATTGCATACAATTAGCCCTAAACATTATCAGTACATTTGTTATGAGAGATGGAAAAAAATCAAACAGCTTCACTACATGCAAGATTTGTGAACTAATACTTGAAGGTTAGGAAAAAATAGTTGTAGAACAACACAGGGTCAGGTTCAGAAAGCAGAAGAAACAGAATGATCAAAAAGCTCAACTTTTCATTCCTAAAGATAAAGTAAGTCTGCAATCTGATCAAATAATGATGCAAATATCCTTCTTTTATAGGTACATTTTCCTTCCTGGGACAAAAAAGTTACTTATACCCAATGCCTTTTGAGGACTGTAATGTTTTATCAACAGACCTGTAAGAATCAATGTGGACAAAACTTCTAACTCTTCTTTGCCCTCACATCTGATCAGCATCTTCAGTCTTATAGATTCTGCACCTTAATCTTACTCTGATCTCACCTACCCATCTATACCAACTTTCACCATCTCTGTCCATGGTGTCTTGCCCAGTGTAGTAATGGCCTCCTAACCAGTCTCGCAGTCTTTTATTTCATGCCATTTTGATTCACCTTCCCACAGAACTAAAAAAAGACCCATTACAATACGAACAAAAGCATTATTTAACATCTTGATATCTCTTTGGCAATTCTTGGTATCAGTTTCAATACATTCTTGGTAATTCTTGGTTTACCAGTATCTTTTTGTCAATTCCAAACCATTTGAAATATGATGACAGATATAATAGAAAGACCTCATATCAGGAACCCCAGGCATAATCAGATAATCTTTTAAGAGCCTAATCACACCACAAAGAGGTCAGTGTTTGAATAAATTCAGATATTGACAGATTTATGAAAGGAGAAATTGTTTCCTATTTTCCCAATTAAATAGGATTAAGAGTAAGAAAGAGCACTATGACTTAGCTAATTAATGAACTGGTAACTCCCAGCCTCTTCTTCCATTAACTTCCTCAATAAACAGAAGTTCTCCAGAGAGAGGGAAGGAGACAGAGAGAATACATTTAAGCCTACTAATAACTCACTCCTTGGAAGCTAGTAAGGGAAGTGCCTCCTTTCCCAGGAAGACCAGAGGTGGCCATTTCTAAGGATAAAACCAGTATCCTTAGAAAGTCAACCTGCAGACTATTGTAATGCAATGCTTTGGAAGATGTTTATCCACAGAGTTGAGAAGTTTGGCTTAAACATCTAATAGGTTCTTGCAGAGATGGAGAACTCCACAAAACTTAGTAGGGGAGCCATTCCGTATGCTGTATTACAGTCTACATAGTACTTCCAAACCCCAGTTTCACTTGCTTGCCACTAAACCAGTTGTTCTCTACCCTGGCTAAAGCAACTATGGCAATTTAACACCTATACTGCTGGGCTGCGGAATTTAATTCAACAGGGCAAAGATTAGGACATATAAGTCACTTCCTAGAATGTTACAATAGAATTAAGTACTATGAAAAAAGTAGAAACAAAATGCTATACGAAACTAGAATGACCAGGGCAATCAGGTATGCTTGGGGGTAACATAGGGAGGAAGGCTTTAAAGAAATGTAATGACTGACTGGATCAAGATGGTGGCCTCAGCCCCTGCTACAAACCCACCAGCCCCAAACCCTAAATTAATAGAGACAGGAAAAAGAATGAAACCATAATTGCACTGACTAACAAAAAAGAGAGCACTTAATTTCAAAGAGGAGAGTCCCAGCAGCAAACTATTAGTAGGTTTCTCTGAGGAGGCAGTTCTGGCAAGGCCAATGTCAAGAGGGGAAGCAAATAATTCAAAGACAAGGGACCCACTGTCAGGCCAGCCCCATGGCCCACCTGCCCCCACTCATCATCAGCAGGTGAAGTAATCTGATCCGATCTGAATCCGAGTCCTGTGACCTGACCTATCATTTGCCAATAAGACAAGTGAATTCTCGTTTGGGCTAAGGAAAAAAAATAGTGCACCCAAGATAAAATACAATCATATACTTTAAAAATCACAAACACTTGAAGGAAAACAATGCCATGAACAAGAGATAATATAATTAATAAATAGAAGAATAGCTGGCCTAAGGAATCAGGTAAGGGGAAACAGAAGACGAGTTTAAAAGAGATGCAGCACGTGTTATGATAGAGATTCCCAAACAGATCCCATCAATTGAAAAACAAAAACAGTAACAACCACCCAGTTCTAAAATTTAAAATATTATTGTAAAGGAAAAAAAAATTAAGATGTGCTAAATTCTGAAATGGATCCCACTGAAGATCAAATTAGCAACTGGAAGATGGAGCCCAGAGATTGTACAGAACACAGAAGAAAAGATCAAAAAAAGAAGGAAAATGGAACACAAATGCTAAGCGGTATTGAAAAGAGATCCAGATGTTCTATTATCTCTCTAAAAGGCATTCTAGGGCTTCCCTGGTGGCGCAGTGGTTGAGAGTCCGCCTGCCAATGCAGGGGACACGGGTTCGTGCCCTGGTCCGGGAGGATCCCACATGCCGCGGAGCAGCTGGGCCCATGAGCCATGGCTGCTGAGCCTGCGCATCCGGAGCCTGTGCTCCGCAACGGGAGAGGCAACGGCAGTAAGAGGCCCGGGTACCGCAAAAAAAAAAAAAAAAAAAAAAGGCATTCTAGATGAATAGAAAAAGAGAAAATAACAGAAATTTTCCAGACCTGAAAAAAGGCCCAACAAGTAGGGTTAATTTTTTTTTTAAAAAATCACCTAAACACATCTTAGATACGTGTTATATTTCCAAATAAAAAGAGAAAATCCCAAAATCTTCCAAAGAATAAAAGAGAAAAATCAGATTACTGTCAGATCTCTAATCTGCAATAGTGAGTGCTAAAAGACAATGAAACAGTCTTCCAATTTATAGAGGAAAATTAAATTTGGTCTACATCCAGCCTAATTTTCATTCAAATGTGAGAGCAAACATAAAGATTATTTTTTCTTTTTCACATTCAAGGATCAGAAGTATGCAATGAAGAAGTAAACAGTAACCAAAATGCTAAATATGTGGATAAATCTAAATGAATATGGACTGTATGAACAATAACAGTAATGTCTTCTGGGTTTGAAAACAGAGAGAGAATTTGAATAGATGACAATTGTAGCATATAAGGAAGAAGCAGTAAAAGTGAAGTTTTAAATGTTCTAAATGTTCTTGAATTGTCTGGGAAAAGGGTAAAAGTACCAGTTCACTAACAGTGTGAAAACAAATAGAATAAGGAAAAATAATAAATTCAAACAAAGACATGAAAGGAAAGAAACAGAAACATAGAACAGGTGGGAGCAAGGACGAAGCACGTTATAAATTGGTAGAACTAAACCCAAACATATCACTAAGTTAACTGTAAACAGACTAAATTTTATCTTATAGACCAAGGGTAGCAGAAGTTTTCTTAAAGGGCCAGATAAATATTTTAGGCTTGTGAGCCATACAGTGCCAGTTGCAAGTACTCAACTCTACATTGTATAGTTGAATTGAACAATGTGGGGCTTAGGGGCACCAACCCCAATCCCTGCGCAGTCAAAAATCATGCTAACTTTTGACTCCCCCAAACTTAACTACTAAGAGCCTACTGCTGACCAGAAGCCTTACCCATAACATAAACAGTCGATGAACACGTATTTTGTATGCCATATGTATTATACACGCTATTCTTACAATAAAGTAAACTAGAGAAAAGAAAATGTTATTTAAAAAAGTCAAAGAAGATAAAATACATCTACAGTACTGTACTATATTTATCCATACCTAAGTTTATGTCATCTGTTTACAAGATGAATTGTCTGTCAGTACCTACATCAATATTGTCTTATATGATATGAAAAACTGTAGATGTTAAACATATTGCTAACAGTAGGCATCAAAAATGAAAAGATAATCTTAAAAAAATTCATATTTATTTACAGGTATAATGATTCATGCATTAATAATGAAGAAGCAGTAATATGGCTGCTCTCTGGTAGCTCTCTGGTAGCTGGTGGCACCATGTGTGGTCTGTGTTTGTGTGTGTAACTTTTGATAAATTGTAACCTTTTATAATAGATCTGTGTATATCTTATGGTAGTAAATGATAAAATAGACTAGTATCTACATATAGTTTATGCATTCATGACATACCTAACATTTTCTTAATTTTTTCCATATTTCTAAACTACATGGTTCATCTGCAAGTTTTTCAAATGGCCACGAATCTCCAAAACATTTTCCAATATATTTCTTGAAAAAAAAATCCACAGATAAATGGACCCATGTTTCTCAAGGGTCAGCTGTAGTGTAAAAGCCTCTACAGATAATTCACAAATGATGGG